AGGAGACTCGCTTGAGCCCAGGAGTTGGAGGTTGCTGTGAGCTGTGATGCCACAGCACTCTACCCAGGGGGATAGATAGCTTGAGGCTCTGTCTCAAAAAAAAAAAAAAAAAAGAAACCACCCAGTCTTGCACCAAAATAGGGGCTTACGTGTATGTCATCCCCTGAGAAGGGGCAGCAGGGTATTGTGTGCCAACATATGGTGCCTTTCTGAGAAGTACCTCTGCCCCTGGCCCTGGACATCTCCCTGCTGCTCTCCTTGTCCTCTCCCAGGGCTCAGGCCTCCTCTCCCTACTGTACCCCTGTCCTGTCCCAGGCTTCAGGCCCCTCTCCCCACTGCCCTCCCTATTCTCTCCCAGGGCTCAGGCCCCCTCAGAATGGAAGTTGCTGACCCCAAGTCCCTCTGCCCACAGAATCTGTACCGGCTAGAAGGGGACGGCTTTCCCAGCATCCCATTGCTCATCGACGACCTGCTGTCTTCCCAGCAGCCCGTCACCAAGAAGAGTGGCATCATCCTACACAGAGCCGTGCCCCGGGTGAGCTAGGGTCTACCTGGCCCATGCCACCTTAGCAGAGCTTGAGGGGGTACGAAGGCCAGGCCCACCGAGTCAGGGCAGCAAGGGCTTTCCCGGTCCCCAGTTTACACACAGGGTGTGGATGAGCCCTCCCTCTCACAGGGCCAGATCCCCTTTGGGTGTGGCCCCTGAAGGCCACACTCTAGGCTGGAGCTCAGCTAGTCAAGGCGCCTGCCTGGTCCCTAAAGTCATCTGAATGTGCTCCTAATATGCTCCAGCCCATGTGACAGGCCAACGTTCCATACCACTGGTGGGGGGCTAGCCCTCCTCTTCACTGACTTCTGACACTAGTACCCCCTTCCCTAGGACAAATGGGCACTGAGCCATGAGGACCTGGTGCTGGGCGAGCAGATCGGACGGGTGAGTGCACCTCTATGTGGCTGTGGCTCTGTGGGCCTCCTAACTACCCCCTTTCATCCCACACGGAGTCACACCTGAGACCTCTCCAGCCTCCCCGCCTCATCTAATTCCATACCACTGACACTACGCTCAGCCACCACCATGTGCTGTCCTCCATGAAATGGGACAGTACCCACCCTGAAAATTCCCCAAATTGGCTCTCCCGCAGCACTCCCAGAGGTCCTCTGTGTGCTCAGGGAGACACGCTATTAATGTGAATGATGAAATGCTTGCTTAGGAAAGAAATTATTCTCCTAAAAATCAGGAAAATTCAAAGCCAGGGGAAAGTGATTTTTGAGATTTCCATGCCACTTCTGTCATGTTGAGGTGGCTGTCCCTGTCTATCTATTGTGGGGCATGCTCCTAGAGTGCCACAGAAAGCAGGTAGATGGGCTGAATGGAAAGCAGGCAGGGGTAGGCTGTGTCCCTGAGCAGAAGAGGTTGGTGGCTGGGAAGCTTTGGTGGGAGCCCAAGGCCATTTCAGGGAAACTTTGGAGAGGTGTTCAGTGGACGCCTGCGAGCAGACAATACCCTAGTGGCAGTGAAGTCTTGTCGAGAGACGCTTCCACCTGACCTCAAGGCCAAGTTTCTACAGGAAGCAAGGTAAGTGATGAAATAATGGTCATGGCAGGGCTGACTGCATGCCAGTGTAAGTACCTGCCTGAGTCCTCAAGGCCCCCAGGCGGGCCATCCCACCAGGCCTCCTAATCTGCTGGGCATCCACATCTTCAGGCCTCTGAGAGCAACTTTTCTCTGTGATGGCCCTTTTCCCATCCTCGGGGTCCCCTAATGGGAGGTAGGAGGTGAGAGGCAGAAAGCACCCAGCTGGGCCTATGCACATAAGCAGCAGTGCCCCCCAGGATCCTGAAGCAGTACAATCACCCCAACATTGTGCGCCTCATCGGTGTCTGCACCCAGAAGCAGCCCATTTATATCGTCATGGAGCTGGTGCAGGGTGAGCAGAGGGCACAGGCCTGGGGGTCAACCTGGCTGGGTAGCACCACACCCCAGACACCCCAGGAGACTCAGTGCAGCTCTCCCCCACCTCCAGGGGGGGACTTTCTCACCTTCCTGCGGACAGAGGGCGCCCGCCTGCGGGTGAAGACCCTGCTGCGGATGGTGGGGGATGCAGCCTCTGGCATGGAATACCTGGAGAGCAAGTGCTGCATCCACCGGTGAGCAGGAGGCAGTACCCAGACCCCGGAGGAGGACTCACCCCTCCTAGGGGAGCTGCCATTGTGGGCAGCTTTGTCTGGAGGGCTCAGCCCAAACTGGGCAGGTGGCTTTGGCCATGTGAGCCCTCTGCCCTGCTTCATGCAGGGACCTGGCTGCTCGGAACTGCCTGGTGACAGAGAAGAATGTCCTGAAAATCAGTGACTTTGGGATGTCCCGGGAGGAAGCTGATGGGATCTATGCAGCCTCAGGGGGTCTCAGACAAGTCCCCGTGAAGTGGACTGCGCCTGAGGCTCTTAACTACGGTACCTGGTTCTTGTCCACCCTGGGCTGCAAGGCCAGGGGCTGGGTGTGGATCCTGCCACAGGCTTCACTCTGGCCCCTTGGATGCAGCCCGCTCATGTTACCTCATTCCTCTGCCTCACTCTTCCACAGGCCGTTATTCCTCTGAGAGTGATGTATGGAGCTTTGGCATCTTGCTCTGGGAGACCTTCAGCCTGGGGGCCTCCCCCTACCCCAACCTCAGCAATCAGCAGACTCGGGAATTTGTAGAAAAGGGTGAGCTGCCCCTACATAGGACAGCAGCCTGGGGGCCAAGCCCTTTTCCTAGTGCTCCACTGTCTCCTCCAGTGACCTCCCACCCTCCCTACCCAGTACACCCCTGTCACAGGGCTAAGCTATATGCAGTTGTATCCCTCCTCACAACATGAGGTAGGGATTAACACGTCCCTCCTACAGATGGAAAAACTGAGGGCTGCAGAGGTCACATACAGGCATGTGGTGGGATGGGGGCAACACCCAGGCCTCTGTGTCCTTGGCCCCTTGTGAAGGACGGGGCTCCTCAGCAGCCAGGCATCTGAAGCAGCACACAGGATGTCCCTGGGGCAGCCAGGGGCCCTCAAGCCCTTTTTTCATGTCTGTCCTGTCCTACAGGGGGCCGCCTGCCCTGCCCAGAGCTGTGCCCCGATGCTGTGTTCAGGCTCATGGAGCAATGCTGGGCCTATGAGCCTGGGCAGCGGCCGAGCTTCAGCAACATCTGCCAGGAGCTGCACAACATCCGGAAGAGGCATCGGTGAGGCTGGGAACCCCTTCTCAAGCCACTGGTCCCCATAAGCCTGAGTGGTTCCAGTTAATGCGCTGGACAGCTCTTCACAGTCCTGGACTCCAGCCACCAGCACATGTCCCACCAGCAGGGTGCCTTAGTTCTGCACCCTGCAGGCAGAAGCAATAAAACCACTTGTGCCCACTGAGTGCTCTTGGCATGTACACTCCTCTGGAGGGCAGGTCACAGAAGGCATGCAGGGCTGGCATAGTTGCTGTGGGACAGAGGAGGACAGCAGAGCTGACACGCTTTGGTTAGCAGTTGGATGTGAGACTTGGGGAAGGAAGGAAAATGATCAGGCGGAGATACAGGCTATGACCAGATGGCTGTGTCATTCCTTGAAATAGGATTACAGGAAGAGGATCAGAGCTACAGGGAGGGCGGTGAGTTTAGAGATACTGCACTTGAGGGGCCCATAGGGACGGAAATGTGGGTGAACAGTCTGAAAGCCCAGATGGAGGTAAAGGCTGGTGGTGGAGGTGTGAGAGTCAGGGCTTAGGAATGTTAAGAGAGTGGCTGACACCATGGTAGTCACAGAGAATTCAGGAGAAGAGAGAAGAGAGTCAAGGAAAGTTAGGGGTCCACTCAGAGAAGACTGATATGACTGAAGAGGAAGAAAATGCTCCCCAGGGAGTTCATCTCTCAAGACAAGTATACTGAGTAATGGGGGGCATAAGGTCATCTGAAACTCTCATAGTAGTAAAAGCAAAGGTCAAGGGGACGAGGAAGTGTGAATAAACCAGAAACACAGAGACCAGGAAGGATTTATAATACAGCAGAACAAAGCAATGAGAAGCTCAAAGTAAATGGCCATCCCTCAAGAAAGTTCAGGAAATGGTTGACAACTATTTTCAGAGATAAGAGACCCCTATAACTTGTTTAGACAAGAGGAAGTAAAGCTAGGGTGTGAGTAAATGCGGAGTGAAACCATATCTCCCATAGAAGAGCTAGAGGCTCGGTGCCTGTGGCTCAACTGGCTAAGGTGCCAGCCAGGTACACCCAAGGTGGTGGGTTCAAATTCAGCCCAGGCCCACCTAACAATGACAGCTGCAACCAAAAAAATAGCTGGGCGTTGTGGCAGGTGTCTGTGGTCCCAGCTACTCGGGAGGCTGAGGCAGGAGACTCATTTAAGCCCAGGAGTTGGAGGTTGCTGTGAGCTGTGATGCCATGGCACTCTACCCAGGGGGACAGCTTGAGGCTCTGTCTCAAAAAAAAAAAAAAGTGCTAGAAAACAAACCAAAGAACTTCTGCTTCTGGGTAGGATGTGGCAGGTCTCTTCAGGCCACCACTGCTATGAGGAGCAGAATATTAAGAGCTGAAAAGAGATAGAGACTGGCCAGACTCTCAATCCAAAATCCAAGAGAACCATTCCTAAGGGACAGGGACAAACAGGGGAGGACTGAGTTTTACCAGAACTGTAACTCTGCTCCAACCCAGCTAAGAAATCAGTCCATCAAGGTTACTAGCTCCTCTGGGAACCCACTCTGACAAGTGGGGTGGAGGAATAACAGTTTGAAGCTTCTACCTTTCTTTTATGTACAATGTGTGAATCACAAAATGTAAACAGCATAAAGCATGCAGAAAAAAAGAGAAAAACAGGGCCAACACACATGAGAAAAAATAAACAACAGAAGCAGACCAGGAGATAGCAGACAAGAATTTCTTTTTTTTTTTTTTTTTGATACAGAGTCTCACTATGTCGCCCTTGGTAGAATGTCATGGTGTCACAGCTCACAGCAACCTCAAACTCTTGGGCTTAAGGGATTCTTTACCTCAGTCTCCCTAGTAGTTAGGACTACAGGTCCCCACTGCAATGCTAGGCTATTTTTTTTGTTGTAGTTATCACGTTGTTTAGCAGGCCCGGGCTGTGTTCAAACCTGCCAGCCTCTGTGGGTGCCCTAACCACTGAGCTATAGGCGCCTGGCCAGCAGACAAGGTTTTTAAAACAACTGATTAAACCCAGAAAAAGTCTAGTAAACATAGAGAAGAGAACAAAGAAGCAAACATGGAGAATTTCAACAGAGTTGGAATCTATTATAAAAGAAAGAAGAATATTAAATTGAAAAAATATCTCTTTGGATGAGTTTCACAAAAATTGATACAAGTAAAAGATAAAATCATAACCGTAGTTAAAGATTAGACATATCTGCTAGACTAGTGAACTTGAATTAATGAAATTGGAGATAGGTTAATCAAAAGTATCTAAACTGGCTCGGTGCCTGTGGCTTAAGTGGCTAAGGTGCCAGCCACATATACCTAAGGTGG